GTCTAATTAATTTATTTTTTTATTTTTAGTAGACGCTAGTGTATTCTTTTGAGGGTGGCACTAGGGGCACACCCCCAACCACACCTCCAACCACACCCTCTCTCTCATTTGCTACAGCACACCGGGCCCCACATGTGATTTTAATTTTAAAAATGTAAAATCACATATGGGGCCCGGTGCACTGTAGCAAATGAGAGAGGGGGTGTGGTTAGAGGTGTGGTTGGGGGTGTGTCCCTATCATTTTCCTTCTTTTGATTATGGACGGTCCAGCGCTGGTTCAATAATCAGTTGAAGAAAATTAAGTTGACGGCACCCCGGGATTAATTAGGCAGCTTTTTTCCCTAACCTAAGGGTTGCCTGGGAATCAGTGGATTCTACAACATCCCTGCTCTATTTATGTAAACCATTTTCAAACAAGAAGCCTCCGGGCCAAATAGAAGATCCTGAGTGAGACAGGTGATGTGTTGGTGTCCCATGTTCCCTGATGTACTCCTTGTCCCATGTCCCCTGATGTACTGTTTATGAAACTAAAAACCCAATTTGAAAAGAAAAATAAGAAAAAACTAAAAACCCATTTGAAAATACGGTAATTAATTAGCACGTACGTAGTAACTAACGTGGCCGGTCACATGTCTTCTTAGTTCTAACCAATCAAAGTAAGCCAACCCATCAACTTCCAAAACTCACTATATAATCTCTCTCCTCACTGCTTTTGTTCTTTTAAAAAACATTTGATTTGATCCGAAACTGAGATCAAGCTTGTGATTGATTTGTAGAGGTGCAATTAATTAATGGCGCTGAAGGCTAGTGCGAGTTTTGTCCCTGGATTAACCAAAGCAAGCGTAGTTGGGAGTGAAGGCAGCGGGATTTGGGGAAATGGGTTGAATTTGGAAATATTTGGTGAGATCAGTTGGAGAAGTAGGAGGAAGGTTGAGAGAGTGAAGCCAGGGCTCGCATTCTCTGTTCTCACTTCATCTGGCGTCGACAGTGAAACCCTGGTGAATTAATTAAACTCTCTCTCTCTCTCTCTCTCTCTCTCTAAACTATATATGATTTGAAAATTTTATTTGTTGATTTGCTCTGATATTAAGTTTATAGATAGATGGTGATTTCCTGGTGTATTCCCTGATCCTCAAGTTTCAGCTTTCTTTTTTTTTACTTTGTAGTTTTAATATATTAGGGGGGTAACTGCGTTATTCAAAAAATTACCATGATACACACTGTAGATTAGAGCTGTTTATGGAAATTTTTTTTTTATGTTCGGTAGCACAAATATGCTGTTTTTAATACTTTTGATCGTTTCACGGCTTGAAGAGCTCTTTAAGTGCATGTGACCCAGGCTTAAGTTGGTCTTTTTAATTTCAAAGTTCTAGCCGAATCAATTTCTGTTTTGGGTTTGCTTCGATTAGGTGTTATTACAAGCAGATTGCTCTAGTTTTGCTTACCCTTGTTTC